ACGGGTAGGCATCACCGCACTACAGGAGTGCTGCACAGTACAGCCCACCCCGCCGGCGCTCTACGCTTCAATCACTCCGGAAGTAACACTTCGTCGAGGAGGAATAGGCCATGGATACTTCATCTGGAGCAGGAAGTGCTTTGTGACATTTATTGCTGAGCTTAACTTGAACTTGAAATTAAACTTTAACTTTAAATGCTCAGCTCTGTCAGGAAGCGCAAGGAGAGACCACCCGAAAGACAGCGTGAAGTGAGGCGCCTGGCGTGAGACGTGGGATGTGTGTGGTGGACAGGCATGCCAACCAAAACCGCGAAAACATTTTAATTTTAGCGCGCCGCAGGCCAAGGTAGACGCACATTTAGCTCAGCTTCACACGGTTTTAACGTGCGTCTACCTTGTTTATTTATTTACGAAATGTCGTCGGCGGGGGGCCATCGTGACCGATCGCGACGCGCTGTACCTGCTGACTTGTCCATGTGACCAGTCGCCGGGGTGCAATATTGTCACCCGAGACAGCGACAGGGGTCTCGAGGGGTCGAGGCGGACGGGGGTCAGGGCCTAGAGGGCCTGGGGGTGTGGGGCCTCGGGGCTCACGGGGCCGCGTCAGAGGCCAAAGGCAGAGCTGGATTTTGTCTCGCCTCCCGCTCGGCGTGGCCTTCCTGGCCCTGCTCGTGCTCGCCATCATCTGCTCTCGGCGGAGCTCCGCGGGAGGGGCGAGCAGCAGGAGGCGCGGGCCCGCGGAGCGAGCTGAGCCCGCGGCCGGGGTTGGGGCAGACGGGGGCCAGAGCCTCGAGGGCCTGGGCGGCCTCGGGGCTCACGGGGCCGCGTCAACGGAGGTGCGGATAGGGAGCTTGTGCTGCGTCTCGCGCCAATATGTAAAGTCCCCTTGTTCTCGCTACAACACACCCCGCACCGCCACGCCCATGGGTACACTCGCTCAATTCTTTTCAACTTTACCGGAATGCTTATCATGAACGCGTTGGTCAAGCGTCGTGTGGCTGGGAGGGAGAGTTAGGAAGAGAACAAGGAACAAGTAAAAAGGTTTTCAGAGCTCTATTTTATTAAAGTTGTTTTCTACATTATTACATCACAAATTCATGGTAGTTTTAAATGGTCCTTTCTGGGCCGGGCGAAGGGAGATTGTTGAATGAAAGAGGGATCGGGGAGTCCCCCCCCCCCCCACCATGCTGATAAACTCTTCCATTCTTTCAGAAATCACTCTTGCTTTTTCCAGATCGTCCTCTTGCTTAGTCAACTTTCTCATCATCTCTTTTCTTTCCTCCCCCCATTCTTCTCTTTCATCATCCCTTCGCACCTATTCTTCAATTCACCCCTTTCTTTCTTCAGCTCTTCGCAGTCCTTCTTACACTCGTCTCTCTCTTTCTTCCCCGCTACGTACTTCCTCGAATCTTTATTTTCTTTCTTCAGTCGTTTAATTTCTTTCTTCATTTCTTCTCTTTCATGTTCTGTCGCGTCTTTCTTCTTCCTCCAATCTTTATTTTCTTTCTTCAGTTGTTCCTTTTCTTTCTGCAGTCGTTCAATTTCTTTCTTCATTTCTTCTCCTTCATGTTATGTTGCCTGTTCCACCTGCCTGTCTTCCCAACCCCTTCTCTTGCGCATGCTGCCTTTCCACTGCCACCAACCGAGTCATCTCTTGTAAGGCCTTTCTCTCCGCCTCCTCTCTCCGGGTCTTCTCTTCTTCGCACTTCTTCTCCAGCTCGACTAACCTCCCGATCCTCCCGCTCTCTTCTCTTTCTCCAATTCTCTCTTCAATGCCTCAATTTCTTGTAGGTGGCCGTCGATTGCCGCCTCCGCTAGCTGCCTCAACTCCGTGGCACTCTTTATCACTTTCAGATAAATGCGCTCCATCGATAGACTGGGGTTGTCCTCCTGGGTAACAGAAAATAATATAATTTAGAAAAGCAGAAAATAAAATGATCAACTGCAAAGCTGCAAAGCTTTATTGACAACTCTATGTATGTACCGAAGTATGATATTTACCTGTACGTTTCGTTTGGGGTGGGTGTCGTCCAAGATTTCCTCTACACTTGCATTTCTTACATCGCCGTCTTCATTCTAAAAGTGGAGAGGAGTAAAAGAAAGTGTATTAGTGAACAAAATACCCAACAAGAAAAATACAGAAAATTGCACATTATGTACAGGGTGGTCCACAGATCCCTTCCTTTATTTTGCTTATACTGTACCGCATGCAGGCGTGCGGGCGAGCTTGCCTACCGTTTCTTACCACGGCGCCTTACGGCCCCGTGCGAGTATGCAACCCGCCCGCACGCCTGCATGCGGTACAGAATAAGCAAAGTAAAGGAAGGGGTCTGTGGACCACCCTGTACATCGAAGTATGATATTTACTTGTGCATTTGTCGCCTTATTCCTCTTGGATGCTGGGAGGCCTTTTGCTTCGGCCTGCTTCCTTTTGGACCGTGTAACCACGCAGTTGGTCGTCTCCACCTCCACTTGGACTCGAGCAGCCGTATGGTCTTCATTCTAAAAGTGATGAGTGAAAGAAAGTGAGTTAATAAAAATACCCCAACAAGAAAAATACAGAAAGTTGCACATTAAGCGGCACTTGGCCCAAAAAAAGACAAACTTACTTCTGCTGTGGGTCGTCCTTCCCAGTTGTTTGAAGCATCTCTGAAAAT